CAAAGAACACAAACAAACACAGATCGTTTACTTGGTTTGATCCAATTGGATCTACGTGCACGGGAGGGAATCAATCAAATAGTTCACTAAGGCAAAAGAAATGGAGAATACATAACTTATACATAGAGATGAGCTCTCATCTTCCTTCTATGGCCTCCCTCTCAAGCGACTCATTGATACAAGGCCTCAAGATGCTCTCCTACTCTCTAGCTCTCTAGCTATTCTCTCCTCCTTTGTGGTAGCTTAAGATCTCTTCTCTTGCTCTCCTAAGCCTCACACCCTCTCTATTTATAGAAGTAAGAGAGTGGTAGGTGAGAGGTAGGTGAGTGGTAGGTGGGCGGTAGGTGAGTAGTAGGTGAGCGGTACCACATTACAAAAGTGTCATTTTACCTTAGTTTAATAATTGTGGGTCAAAATAACAATTCTCCACCTTGATCCACCTTTGAGAAGCTTCGAAGTAAAAATTCCCTCCACCTGGCCCCTGAGGGGCCCTCAGCCCTTGCTTGAGTAGGCCCTCAGCCCTTGCTTGAGAGTCCAAAGTCCAAACAATACATGGACTTAGCCATCACAGTTTTTGCAATAAGAGAGTACAACCCATTTTTCCTGACTCCTTGTATGACGACACGAGGGACGACACGAGGGTCTTTGTTTACTCTGATGTAGTCATTTTCTGCCTTGAACGAGCATCTGCTTGACTCCAGCGTACCTAAAGAAATCAGATTTCTTTCGAGCTCTGGTACGTACTTGACATTTTTCAGTACTCATTCAACTCCATCAAACATCTTTATCCTGATTGATCCACTTCCAACAACCCTGTGAGCTTTATTATCTCCCAGTAGAACGAACCCATCATTTTCTTGTTGTAGTGTCTCGAACTAGTCTTTGAAGGACACTTGTAGAAAGAACACCCTAAGTCGAGGATCCACTCCTTACTGGATTCAGATTCTGTGATCACCAGGGTCTCGACAGAATCGTAGTCAGCAAGACTACGCTTACTTCTCCTGATTCTTCTGGCTCTTCTTGGTACTTATTCTTCTTATATGGGCAGTTCCTCTTGAAATGACCGTCCTTGTGACAATGATAGCACTTGAAAGATCCCCTTGATGACTGATTCCCGCCATTCTTTCTTGACTTTGATTTGTACTGACCATTTCTTGAATCTTTCATGTTCGATCTTCCTCTGACAATAAGTCTGTCTCCGCTGACTTCCTTGTCCCTGTCATGCTTCCAGTGAAGTTCTTTGGCTCTAATCAGAGATTGAACCTCCTCCAGAGCAATAGTCTGCACCCTTCCATAGAGCATCGCATCCTTGAAATGCTCGCAGCTCTTAGAAATAGAGTTTAACAACAACAGTGCCTTGTCCTCATCGTCCATTTTGACGTCGATGTTCTCGAGGTCATTGATGATCTTATTGAACTCATCAATCTGCTCAGAGACGGATTTGTTTTCATGCATTTTGAAGGAGTATAGGCGCTGCTTCAGAAAGAGCCTATTAGCCAGAGACTTTGTCATGTAGAGTACCTCGAGTTTGGCCCAAAGTGCTTGAGCCGTTGTCTCCCTCGACACCTCCCTCAGAACTTTGTCGCCCAAGCTCAGGATTATCA